ACGCGCAGACGACTGTCCCGATTTAGTTCCGTCTTGGTTATTCTTATGTCTAGGGATGTCGAGACAGGAGTCAAGACAGAGGGATGCGACAAGATAGGAGAGATGCGCGTGCTAAAGAAGGCACTATTTTTCTGCACTGAACCTTAAAGACTGTCCTTGAAATAGCATTACTGAAATATATTTTTCTACCGATGTAAACAGCTTTGACTAGCTGGTTATTGAGGATTTACCCAAAATATATTAATGAATGCCGATAGTTCATTCATCTATTCTGCACTATTTGGGTTAGAGATTGAAATTACAATTTTCATGAAGTGAATATTACTTGTGTCATTGGGAAACTACAAAAAAAAATCAAAATACCTGTTAATTCCTTCAATGTAAAGGTAACCTGCACTTCTTGTTGCACACTAAGCCCAATCTCCCTCAACGTAACTGTGACTTGCTTGCTTGTGCCTTCCGCATGGAGGTATCGCAAGCACTCTTCTTTGGCGTCCTCCCCAATGCCACACTCCACGGACATGAAGTCGCCGACGCCCATCCCGACCTCGAAGCTGGGGCGCCGTTCCTGTTGGTCCAAGTCGCCCGCAAGGTCTTCGCGCCCACTTGGCTCACGTCATTGAGGTCTACAGTAAATGATGAATCAGTCAGTAATTAATACCGTTTTCCCATTTTTTGTGATTGGATTATCATAGAGATATGCAGAAGTAGTAGTACAGTTAGTGAGGATTGAGGGAAAGCTAGACAGATGGGGAGAGAAAGAAAACTGGTGAAAGAGATTAAAGGATTTGGGAGTAAATAGCACATAAGAAAGGGAGAATAGATAATCATCCGTGTATATGCTAGATGTTTTCTATAGGGCTGAACAATGGATAAATAAATAATTTAGCAATTCTTTAAATTATAATGATTAACCACAAGAGAGGAATAGAAACAGTGCCATAAGTAATGATCGATGGAGATAGAGACACAGACAGATAGGGTGCAGGAGAGAAGGAAACTGGAAAGAAGATGGAGAAACAGATATATGAAGTCGAAAATGAATAGATAAAACTGATAAAAAACGATGAATCGTATTGTACATGGAGGAGAGTACCAGGGCCTTCCAACAGTGCAAAGTAAGACACTTCTATTTGCGAAGATGGACACTCACCCAAAAGGAAAAGCTCAGCGCCTCCAGACAGAGTTTCTTGGGTGTCGAGATTCTCACGTGACACAAGAATCCAGACCTTGTTACTCAGGTCGAAGTCAAGGTCGAGATGCAGGGGACCAAGACACAGCTTTTCCTCGACATCAGAAACGGATGAGTGAGAGAACTTCGACACCATCTGTACTTGCCGACCATTGGCATCCACCGCCACTAACTTGTTTACAATATTTCCTTCCTCATTTTGTTTTCTCTCTTCACGACTTTCCATAAAACACACGGTAAGACCTCTTGTTTCTCCAGTTGTTGTCAATGTCAGTTCTGTTATGTTTATTGCTGCGTGACGTTGGAAGAAAGACAAGACACTACATAGAGACTCCGTTGCTGGATGCATTTGGTACTATGCTATTCCACAAAGACCAGTCATATTGGTGGATTTATTTGTGAAAAAAATGTAGAATACTTAAATTATGATATCAGAATCTTAATGTGATAAGAAAAATGTACATATTCACTCACAGATGATAGGTTGTGACAATTGAGGATACAAAGAGCTACAAGGTATTAAGTGCACTTACTTTCCCGAACAGTTTCCACCTTCACTGAGGCCGAAACAGATTCCCTGTCACCTTGTGCCCTCACACTGCAGTATAATCTTCGTTCAAATTCAGCCCGATAAAGTAAGCCAGGCACATTTTACTGTCTTCAGGCTTTTCACCTCCACAGATCACAGAAGTGTTGCTGAATTTGCCTTCAATTTCAGGAGCGATTTCGACGTCGTATTTCTGGTTGTGCGAAGCTCGCCAACGGACTTCGATGGCATCTGATGTCAGCTGTTGAATTCGAGTCTGGAAATCTGGAAGGTATATATATATATATATATATATATATATATATATATATATATATATATATATATATATATAATATATATATATATATTATATATATATATATATATATATATATTCTTCATCTTTTTGTGTGTTTTGTCACCTGTTACTACCTCTAAGCTAGTGTATATGAATTTATGTTATCGGCCAAAATTAAAGAAAATAAGGTCCCTTTACAAAAGATACTGAGGAAAAATAATTACCTTCAAATTCCACAACAGTCGATTCATCCACAGTTGATGCAGAATCTAACGCCATCAGCAAAATCTTAAATTCCGTCACTTTTGGCTCAGCCTTAAATGTGCAGGTCTTTGGAGACCGGCCTGTGATCTCACAGGTTAGCGGATTCGGTGTCAGAACCTCCGAGTTTGTGTAGAGTTTCGCTTCCATTGTGAGCGACGTTTCGGGGAATTCAGCGGTGATCATCAGGTCCTCCTCAGGCGCCCCGGAGAAGCTCAGCTGAACCAACGGATTGATCAGAGCTGTTAGAAGGAAAACGGGGTTGATCAGTTGTCATTTCTAATTTTCATTGGCTCCGTTTTCTTCTTTTATACTTTCACCTCTCCTCTTAATGTATTAATCTCTTAGTATCACTGATGTTCGTCAGATGGCATATAGGATATATCCTACACTTTTAAGTCGCTCTTTGCGCCATCAATGCACAAATACGAATGTAGTATATATTTATAGGCCGAGTTTTTTTTCCTTTCCTTAGAAAACTTAATAAGGTCCAGTTACTGGGAAACTTACATGAACAGATATTCCTAATGCTTCAGATATAGGGAGACTGCAATTCCAAAAGCAAAAAGTTCACTTTTGCAAAATACTATGCAGTAGGGTAAACGCAACACCTGTGATGCACAGGTTGAGAGTCACTGACTTAACAGGAACAAGTACAGAAACGAAACAGACATGAAATAAAATACGGCGGCAATGCCCAGTATTAGATTGTACTCCTCCCACGTGGCTTTTGCGTTTCCCTTACCAACGTGGCTACATTTTGGTTCTTGGCGTAAACCTACACTCTGGCTGTATGTATGCTGCCGTCATGTCACACTGCTCGATATTCGGGGCGGCCATCCTGCAGACTTCGGGAGGCTCCAGGATGTTTTCTGCTCCAAATCGTAGCAGACTGTGCTGGCTGGACACAGGAAGCCGTTCACTTTGACATCCATTTCTCCCGTCTCCACTTTGAGGGACTGGAGGGCCTCTGTCCCCACTTTCGTCATCCGAGGGAGCAATATATCTGGAGGAAGATGGGAAGGAATGTGTCTTATGATGCTTGTGTTAGCCATGTCTCAATCATGATAGTACGGAGCGCATTGACAAACAAAGATCAAGTAATATTGAAAACAATAATAACAAAAATCATATAACTTTAAAAGTAGTCTTTATCAGTAACAATGCATTCGTCTTCATATTCATCTGATCCCGCTCACCATCACCATCTGTGGCAAGAGCATCATCTATGCAAAAAAAATCACACTTCATATGCCTTCGAAGGTGACATCTTTCCCGAAGGCCAGGGCGGCAGAGTCCCCGCCGTCGTCAGTATAACAACCATGCTTGTGTTTGAGACTTTAGCATTACAGGTTTTGTGGTCCAGAGGTGAACAAACAAAGCTAAAGCCATTGATAATGTGATTAGTATTGATTTCCATTAAAATACCTCACTCTTTTCTCATAACACGCATTGGTGGTGGCACTGCAGACGGCAAATGGGCGAAAGAGTGCCACGTAAAACCACAGTTCCTAAGCCAGAGGAAGAGCAGAGGCCCTTACCTGAGAGGGTCACGTGCGCGCGGCCGGCCTCCAGCAGGGCCCCGTCGTCGTCGTATCCCACGACCAAGAAGTTCCAGTCTCCTGCGCCGCGCGAGGAAGCAGCCACGGAGTAGCCGGACTTCGAGGGCGTCGCCGCGAGGCTTTCGCAGTCGGCGTCCGTGGCAACGTCGTTCTGAAGGTCAGGAGGTCGGCGCGGGTCACGGGTTGGTCGCTCGCCACCTCGACGTCCATCTGGCGTCGGCGTCGCGCGAGGTCAGGCGCTCGACCCGGGACGCCGGGGAGGCGAGCCTGCGGGAGCGGGGTTTGAGTCGCATGCGACTTGCGCCTTTATGTGTTTTACAAAGCAAAAAGTAACAGTAAAAAGTAAAAGGCGACGATCAAAAATAGGAGCAGAAGCGCTCGAGAATTAATAAATAGCACGGGAACCGAAGCATCATCTAAAGTCAATGTGTCGCTATTTACAAAGACTAAGCAGCAGTGATAAACTAATACCTGATGTAGCCTCATAGATGGCGTTGGACCCCTTCCTGACGGTCACCGCGGGGGGCGCGTCCACCCCAGCGAACCAGACACGACACGGTGACCCAGCTGGCACTCCAGAGTGGCCGCGGGAGGGGGCGAGGGCCGGCCAGCGTGACCTCGTACGCGCCCCCCGATCGAGGGTCGACCGCCACCTGCAGGACGTCCTGGGAGAGCGAGAGCGCGGCCACGCCGTGCACTGCGGGCGCGAGGAGGCGCTCGTTAGCTGGCCCTTGAGTCAGGGACGGGAAGGACACGAAGGACCTCTCCTCTTCGCGAGAAAGAAGGCCTTGTGTCTCTCCGCATTCCGCCTTTTAACGCATTTGTTTATCTGTATGATTACTAGATTCCTTCTCTTATTACGGTCTCCTGAACCGGTTTTAGCGTTCTGATGACAATAAGGATACTAACAAATGAGAATGAAAAGCCGTAACAGCACCACAAGCACTTCTGAACTTGAAATAAACAAATAACAATTATAAACAAGCATTTGTCGGCGGCGAATGCCAGCAACAACAACCATAAAGCCAAGGAGAGCACCTTCGAAGGGCACGGCGAGCGACGCCGTGACGTAACCTTCGTCGTCCAGCACGACGAGCGTCACGTCGAAGCCGTCCAGGTCGTCGGCGACGGCCACAGGGTGCGCGCACGTCCCGTCGC